TTTTTTTTTTTTTTTTTTTTTTTTTTTTGAGTTGGAGTCTCACTCTGTCTCCCAGGCTGCAGTGCAGTGGCATGCTGAAGACCACCGCAACCTCCACCTGCTGGGCTCAGGCTATCCTTCTGCCTCAGTCTTTCAAGTAGCTGGAACCACAGGTGTGCACTACTACACCCGGCTAATTTTTTGGTTTATTGTAAAGATGAGGTCTGGCCAAGTTGCCCAGGCTGGTCTCGAACCCCTGGTCTCAGGCAATCCTCTCTCCTCGGCCTCCCAACGTGCTGGGATTACAGGCTTGAACCACTGTGCCCGGCCTGTTTTTTGTATCTTTAAATTCAACTTCCTAAGGTGATTCTTGTTTTCTGGATCTTCTTGATGTTATCATATATGTTGAATCTTAACTTGACGTCAAGTTGTACAGGAAGAATAAAATCTTTGGGAACATAACTTCCAGAAAACCAAGTGACTTTGAGGACAGTACAAATTTCGAATGACTTTCAAGACTATGTAATGAACACAACCTGTTGTTACATAGCTTTACCTCAGAAAAGTTTCAATTCCACTGTAACAATGCATATGACATTAGGTATTTGAATTCAGCAATGAACAATGAAAAGGATTAATTTCGTAGACATTTTGCATGGTAAAATTAAAATGTAGCGAGTTCAATTGCAGAATAATCATTAATAATGCAACAAGGTCATTTGAGTTATTTCTGTGTGTGTGTGTTGTGAATATTTGCAAGAAGAGTTCCTTTGGGAAATTTGGATCTTCTTTCTGCTTTCATCTGTTTGGATGATGTTACTAAATATGTTTTCTCTATCCTCATATCAATTTCTGATTGAGGTGAATTTGTATTAAAGTTACATTACAAGTTAGTCATTAAGCATACTAGTTTTTCTATAAGTATCTTTGATTTATTCTTTTGCCCAAGTGAATTCTAAGAAAGTTCAACTTTATGTTGTGCTAGCAGTTTTGTTTATAGTCATACTTTCCATGTTACAAAGTAGAGCTAAAGTGACCCAAATAAACATTTATTTTTGAACTACTTCCATTTTCTGCTCTTGCCTTCTGCTCAGCAGATGACCATGTCTTGTACTTCACAGAAATAAAGCTACCAGTGTGATTTACTTAATTTCTAACCCCTGTAGTTGTAAAACCTATCTAATCTGTGTTTGAAATAATTCTTATTTCTTTCACAAAAATCTCAAAGGAAGAGCTATCTTTTCCCTGTTCAAGAAGAATTGTTCTGCGTGTCTTTCTGTATTCCCAATAGTCTATTTCATCATTTGTTCTGATTTTTTCAGTCATTGTCTATTCATCCTTTTACATAGTCTATATAGACATGTTAAGAGGTTTTCTTCTATAACATTAAAAATAATAAACCACATTTTTATAAGTTTTTTTAATTAATAATTAAAGCATATCTAGTATCCTATATGAGTTCAAGAGTTTGATTCATTTTTCTTTTCTTTCCTTTTTTTTTTTTTTGAGTTGGAGTCTCATTCCATTGCCCTGACTGGAGTGCAGTGGCACGCTCACAGCTCCCCAGCATCTACCTGCTGGCTTAGGTGATCCTTCCGCCTCAGCCTTCTAAGGTGGAACTAGGTGCATGCTGCCATGCCCAGCTAATTTTTTTATTTATTGTAGAGACGAGGCCTTGCCAAGTTGCCCGGGCTGGTCTCGAACCCACAGACTCAGACAATCCACTCTCCTCGGCCTCCCAAAGTGCTGGGATTATAGACTGAACCACCAAGCCTGACCGATTCATTTTTCAAAGACACTGTACCTCCTAAAATGCTGTTCATATTTGTTTTGTGGATGCGTTAAAATGTTCTTATTTCTTAAGCAGTTGGTGTCTTACTATAAAAAAATGTGCATCAAATCCAGATCCAAAATACAAAGTCATTATAAGTAGTAACCACCACTTGTTTTCTACTGAAAATAGCATGTTCATCTTTGGGCCTTCCTGCCTTACAGTGGCTTTTATGGACCACAGAGATTGTGAACTCCTGGATGAGTATTGCGCTGTTGGAAGCTCAGCGACAGGTGCAGAGATTGAAGGCAGAAAAAATAGTGGCACCACACCAAGTTTTCCTTAAACCACTTTTTAAAAAACTCTTTTCCCCTCTGCTTTGATCATTTCTTTCTTTTCCTCCAATCTGGTCCTGTGGTCTCGTCATGCTGTCCTCCACATCATCACTTTCATTTATGCTTTTTTGCTTTTACTATTTAAATGTTCTCTTGATTTTTTGGTAATATTTCAAATATTCAGGGAAAAAATAGAGAATAACATAATGAGCATGTATGTACCCAACACTCAATTTTGTCAAGTTTTAATATTTTGCTGTATTTACTTCAGATTGTTTTTCACAAAAGAAGTGAATATAAAAAATACATTGCTTGTATACTCCTTCCCAATCCTGTCCCTCTCCCATCCTCTTCACAGGTAAACTGGTCTGCTAAATTTCCTAAGCTTCATTCCTATGCATGATCTGGTTGTTTTGTGTGTTTACTTTTGTTTAAAATTTTTAAAAATTCTCAATTACAAAGAGTTGAGTCCATCATGTCACTTAGTTCATGGCATACTATTATTGTTAGTCTCTGCATGCTTCTCTCGTTTTATTTTGTTTTTCATTTGATTTTACTCTTTTAAAAAAATTTTTATTTTCCTCTCCTTTCTGAAACTTCAAGTATTCAGTTCTGGAAAATTCTTACACATTGCTTCAGTATTACATTGCTTCCATTCCCTTTAGTCTTTTATTTTGGAACTCCTGTTAAATGTATGTGGGACCCCCACAATCTATCCTGCATATATTTTAGCTGCTCTTTCAAATTTGTTTTCATTAGTTCTTTATAGTGCATTAAGGTTTAATTCTTCAGTTACTGTCTTCCGGTTTATTCATTTCCTCTCTTTGCGTGTATTCTAGAATTTATGCATTTTAAATTTTTTAAGATTTCAATGATAATATTCTAAATTTCCAAGATTCCTTTATTTTTTCTTTTCCATCTTTTTGTTTTATAGTTTGTGTGTGTGCCTGCATGGGTGTGTATATACTTTCCTCCTTCAGGTCTTTCAGGATTCTAAACATGCGGATTTTTAAAAAGTCATTTTTAGGTTGCTTCATTATTTTCTTTTGTTAGAAGTGAATTCATCTCCTACTTACTGATTTGTGCTTAACTGACTTTTTTCTAAGTATTTTTAGAATTTTAATCTGTAGTCCCATTTTGTATGGGAGCTTATTGAACTTTTTGTTTTCTTTTGTTTATATTATGCTTAGTTTTTTCTATTCAGTAGTTTGATGACTACTCTCTCTCATCTGCCAGGCCTTTTTGTTCAGAACTGGGCTTTATATTCATGACTCTGTGTTTGCTTCTCATTGTATTGAAGAGTAAGTCACTGAGCCCAACAGCAGTTTGGCAGAGATTCTGGAACAACTGTGGATGATTCCTCTTGACGCTGTAGGTATCGAGTTTTATATGAGCATTTTCTCTAGGTAGCAGCTGGCTAAAGCTTCACCCTCCTTTCATGTTCAGGAGAATTCCTGCCATAGCTCATTCTTTTACTCAATGAATCTGGCTCTGGGTCTGTGCCTCTTTTTAGGCACGTTTATTGCCCTTCTTTCCGTATTCTGTGAAACCTGATCTACTTTGCCTGTCATCAGACTGGCCCCAGCAAACCTGCATCTGTATTTCTGAGCTATTTGTTTGATTGAGGCTAATTGGCATCACTATTTTTTAATTTTTGAGTGGGAGTCTCATTCTGTTGCCCAGTTTGGAGTACAGTGGCATGACCATACTCACCATAGGCTCAACCTCCTGGACTCAGGAAGTCCTTCCACCTTAGCCTCCCAAGTAGCTGGGACTACAGGCATGCACCACCACACATAGCCTATTTTATTTATTTTTGTAGAGACGAGGTCTTTTTATATTGCCCAGGATGGTCTTGAACTCTGGTGCTCAAGGAGTCCTCCCACCTTAACCTCCCAAAGTGCTGGGATTACAGGTGTGGGCCACTGTTCATGGCCAGGCATCTTCATTTGAAGTAGTCAGATTATTTGGTTCAGTAAGTTGTAAGTAATTTTAAGTTGATTAATAGGAAAACACAAATAGTAAAAGATATAAAATATGCTATCTGTACCTCTTTAGAGAAAAACTCTCTGAAACCATATTTTTGCTCTACTCTCACACCACAACAATCAACACAGAAGACCTCTGTGACCAAAGGTGTGGGGGTTTTTCCCCACACACCAAGCATCAGACACCAGCTGGGTATCCTCCAATTTAGTTCTGACACTACCTGGAAATAGTGTCAGATTCCACAGTTGTGGGCTGACCCCCTGCTTCTCTAAGACTGACCCCCTGCTTCAGTTACCAGTCGTAAGTTCAGGCCTCCAGAACTTCTGGAAGACCAGCTTCAAGTTGGCATTCCCACACTCCCCTCTTTGGATTCAATTAATTTGCTAGGTCAGCTCACAGAACTCAGGGAAATGCTTGATTATGCTTACTGGTTTATTATAAAGGATGTTACAGAGGGTACACATGAAGAGATGTGTAGGGCGAGGTATG